AACCCATCACAGAGATTAGTTTGTTTTTCAAAGACTTGTGTTCTTCCACATTAAGGGAAGAAAACCTACTCCGGATGGATCGGAACATTCGTGTAACTTCAACTAAGATGGAAAAGATATTTCCATGTGGGTTTTTATGTGATGGAACACCTTCCAATCCACCTTGTACACGAGGCACGACTTGGAAGGCATGTCCAATGCAGATGGATGTATCCCTTTGAGAGGTAATATTATAAGTTTGATGTAATTTTCTATTTTATTTGAATGTTCTTGGCTAACCTGAAATTATGTATGACAATTGGCAAATGCAAATAATTTGTTAAGCAGAGGAATAGGATTGAAGGATCTATATGCGAAGCTTATCTTGCAAAGGAAACTGCTCATTTTTGTTCTTATTATTTTGAGAGTAATGTGCCATGTGCTAGGAATAGTCCCAATAGGCACACAGCCGAATGTGTGAATGATCCATTATATCTGCCTATGCCATATTCAATCAACCAGGCCAATGTTCTAAGGATGTTAGAAAGAGAAGTTTGAGTAATATGGAGTACAAGTCAGCTACACTTCATGCGTTGCTAAATTATCCCGAAGTTGTACCATTTCTCAAGTAAGTATTGATTTAGTAGTTATCAAAATATAAAATTTACTGTGATTACATCTCAATGCAACTACTAAAAATATTTGATGTATCACAGTCACTTAGTGGGTCAGTTTGGCCATGATACTGTATATACGACATTTGATACGTGGTTCAAACAATTTGTAAGTTTATCCTTAAAATATTCTAATACTATGTAGGTAAATAATGTTTGGAATTTATGCTAACTTATAAATATTTTAACAATATGTAGGTATATGATCCAAATAATGGTGTAAATCAATTTTTGAAAGATATATCTTGGGGACCTAGGCTTGAGGTCACAACAATATCTAAGTACGTTGTGAATGGTTATAAGTTTCATACAGAGGATTGCTCTAAAAAATAAAAATAGCAACAACTTTGGGGTGTGGGTTCAAGATGGTGATAGCAACCAAGTTGGAGATATGTATTATTATGGTGTGCTCAAAGAAATAATAGAACTAAAATATACAGGTTGGACATTTAAGAAATTTATACTCTATAGATGCAAGTGGTTTGACCCAAATCCAACAAGAGGTACAAGAGTACATAATCTGTCACGACCCGAAATCTACTAAGGGTCGTGATGGCGTCGGACACCGCTGTCAGGCAAGCCAACTATAAATACTTAATTAAATTCTTATTTTAATAATTTTGAAAACTATGATTTGTCGTTCAAATTTACTAGTAAAGGTCAAATTAAATATAATGTTAAGAAGTAAATACAGGATACCCCATAATCATCCCAAAACCCGGTATCACGAGTGCATGAGAATTTACTAGGGAATGAAATAAACTACAGTAACTATCCGAAATACAAAGTGGACAGAAATGAAAATACAGTACAATACTCTAAAGGAGACTCTGCTGGCTGCGGCTTGTCTCGAATAATGCAGCTCACCTAAGTCTCTGTATCAACCATGCCTCTATGCCACTAAGTCACTAGCCACACGTGAACCTGTGGAACAAAAATGCACAACAAGTGTAGTATAAGTACGTAAACAACGTGTACCCGGTGAGTATCCCGTCTAATCTCGAAGATGTAGAGAAGAGAGGTCGACTTCGATACTTACTAGTGGTCCAATGATAATATAGTAAAAAAATATGAGAAAATCATGGATTTCATAAAGCAAGAATAAACTCATAAAGCCGGAAAGCAGGTAAACAACTTCTCAAATAATAAAGGATTTCCAAATATTTACTTTTCATTATTTTTATCAATTTATCTCCGGCCAGGAAAATCAAATATCAATATTTATAAATCTCAGGTAAATAATACAAGCATGCGCATACAATGACGAGGTCGTACGACCCGTTCCAACATAAATGTAAAATGTGCACTGCCGAGGGTCGAACAGCACAAACCATAGATGCATCTATTACCCCGCTCGCGAATCATACATGTGACGCGGTCAAATATAAATAAACAAGCACCCCGCTCGCGAATCATACATGCGATGTAGGTACACATAGAAGCACGCATTCAAACAGTCAATCAAGACTTCATCAGGGAAAAATAATTACCCAAAGAAATAGCAATTCTCTTTAACGGTCAAGAAAATGATGTTTAATTCCTTTAGAAATTCATTTACCAATTCGATATGATTTAAGCATGTTTAAATCGACAACAGGATTCCAAATATTACAAGTAAAGAATGCTTTTGGGTCCTTAACTACCCAGACTTATGCATAATAGTAACTACACACAGACTCTGGTCACCTTGTGCGTACGTAGCCCCCACAAATAGGAGCACATATCAAATTAATTCACCTATGGAGACAATTCCTTCTTACAAAGTTAGGAAGGAGACTCACCTTGCTCTGAAGTTCCAAAACCGGATTCCAAGACCTTCCGACTACTTAAATCGATGCATAATGCTCCAAAACTAGCCAATAAATGAAAAAATCCATAAACATATGCTCTAATACTCACAACAATTCAATTTAGATAAATTCCTAACTTCGTTCAAAAAGTTGACAAAATCGCCCTCGGGCCCACGTACCTGGATTCCAAAAAAACTCACAAAATCCGACAACTCATTCCGATTTCGAGTTCAACCATACCAATTTTATCAAATTCCGATAATAACTTGACCTCCAAATCTTGAATTTTCATTCTTCAGAAGTTTTACAAAATTCTTGATTTCTTCTATATAAATCTGAAATTAATGATGAATATAACCATAGAATCATGAAGTATAATTACTTTCGGGTATAGAATACTTACCCCAATCAATATAGTGAAAATCGCCTCAAATATTGCTTCAATCCGAGCTCCATAGCTCCAAATATGATAAAAACAGCCGAAACCTCGAAATATAGCTTCTGCCCAGGTATTTACTCTTCGCGATCATGAAGCACAATATTTCTCAGCCCAAAATTTGCCTTTCGGGATCGCGGAAAATGTTTCATGATCGCGAAGAACAAATGTCCAGCTCTTCCAGACAGTCTCAATATAATGGCCATAACTTCTTGTACAAAATTCCAAATTACAAATAGTTTAACTTTTTGAAAACTAGACTCCAAGTACCACAACTTTTATGCTTTGCTCATCTACCATTCCCTTATAGATTACAAGATATAAGCTTTCAAAGTCAGCCTTGTGCAACACAAATTTCTTCTTCGCGATTTCCAAACTCTTCCTGGATAGGCTGTAGTGTACCGCTCATAGCCTTTTGTACACAACTCCAAATACCAAATGGTTTAATTTTTTAAAAACTAGACACAAAGGGCTACAACTTTTGTTTTTGGTCATCTCCAAATTCCTTATAGATTGTGAGATACAAGCTTCCAAAGTCGGGTCAGTGCAGCAGAAACTTTCCTCTACGCGATCGCGAAAGACCTTCCGCGATCGCGAATCACTGGCCATTTTCTCCCATTTTACTCGTCGTGATCGCAACCAATTGCCCGCGATCGCGTAGCACACTGCTGTAGCCAAAACCAGCAGCTTAAAATGGTTTAGAAATGCTCTGAAACTCACCCGAGCCCCTCGGGACCCCGTCCAAACATACCAACAAGTCTCAAAATGTATCACGGACTTAGTCGAGCCTCAAATCACATCAAACAACGCTAAAACCATGAATCACACTCCAGTCGAAGCTTAATGAACTTTAGAATTTCAAACTTCTATAATCGATGCTTAAACCTATCAAATCACGTCCGATTGACCTCAAATTTTGCGCACAAGTCATATTCGACATTACGGACCTACTCCAACTTCTGGAATCAGAATCCGACCCCGATATCAAAAAGTCCACTTCTGGACAAACTCCTCAAAAACCTTCAAATTTCTATCTTTAGCCAAATGACTCCAAAATGACCCACGGACCTCCGAATTCACTTCCGATCGCGCTCCCAATACCAGAATCACCATACGGAGCTATTCCAAGACTCGGAATCCCAAACGGACATCGATAACACTGAAATGCACTTCAACCCAAACCTATAAAATTCTTTCAAAAATGTCAACTTCCACAATAGGTGCCGAAACGTTCTCGGTTCTTCCAAAACCCGATCCAGATGTACGCCCAAGTCCAAAATCATCATACGAAACTATTGGAACCTACGAATCTCGATTTTGAGGTCGTTTACTCAAAAATCCAATCTTAGTCCATTCTTTCACCTTAAAGCTTCCGAATTTAGAATTATCTTTCCAAATTAACTCCGAACTTCTCAAAATTCAATTCCGATTATGTGTACAAGTCATAATACCTGAAGTGAAGCTACTCATGGCCTCAAACCGCAGAACGACGCGCTAGAGCTCAAAATGATCGGTCGGGTCGTTACACAATCAATACAACGTAATTGAGGTTAAGCATACGAAGAAGTATGATCGTTATGATCCTTCCATAATTTCACATAATGTTAGGCAAGTGTATTATGCTCCTTCTCCATTGCGGCAGAATAAGTCCTATTGGTGGGTTGTAATAAAAACTAAGCCTGTAGGTAGGGTGAAAGTTGAGAATGTGTTAGATGTTACATATCAAAACGATATCTCCAGTGTTCACCAAATAGTAGATGAACTTTTAGAAAATGATTTGGAACATCCTGAACACATATTGGAAGAAGTTAATATAAATGAAGTAACAGTTATAGAAAATGAGGAAGAAGAATCAACTGATGAAGCTCAAACTAGTGAGGAAGAAGAATGCTTAGACAAGGAACAATATGTCGATGAGCTTTAAAAAGTTGGTTTCTTTAATAACTCTTGTTTTATAGCTAGTTTCTTATATGTTTCAATCTAAATATGTATTATATTATGTAGATGAGAGGCAAGGTTCAAGGTAACAATGACTTTACTGGTTCTCGGGGTCGAGAAAAGGCTAGGAAGGCAAAGAGGAGGGTAGAAGATAATACTGCATCTTTTCCACCCTCTTTATAGATGTCTATGCCTATTCCTATGTCTTATACTCCACCCCATGGCTATTCTGAGCTGCCACAGCATCACAAGCCCTACACCTTTGTGCAGACACCAGGTTTTTCATCACAGGGCTATAGGACTATACGTCCGGCATACAGTCCAGCTGTCTCACGACCACGTGGATCGCAGCCTTCTGCATCGCATGGATCACATCCATCCATGTCACATCCACATGGATCATATCTATCCGTGTCACAGCCACTCGGGTCACAGCCACTTAGGTCACAGACATCAACATCATAGCCATCAGTATCACAGCCACTTGCGGTCCATCAAGCTATGTCGCAGTTAGAGGGATCGTAACCATCTTCACCAGCGACTCTATCTATTTCAGGCATTCGCCTGCGAGATAGTATCTATGACCCCCCTACACCTTCCATATATGCCTCTGATATACATGCTTCGGACGGTGATGCTGATGATGACGAGGAGGTGCATTATGATCAATATGGCAGGATCATCATTGTCCTTGAGGGTGATGGGTAAGAGTTATTTGTTATTTTTAAGTTTATTATTTTGTACAGTTTGTACTAAGATATGAATATGTTTTTTTTAATTAAATTGCAGGTTCATTCCGAGTAATATTACCACGAGGATAATCACCAAAGCCACCAGAAAGTTTTATGATGGCCCTTATTCGACTTGGAGTGAATTCCCATTCCCACTGAAGGAGAAAATTTTCAATCAATTTAAGGCATAAATGTTCTTTTAAGCAGTATAATTATTTATATTTATGATATTTCCATATAATATTTAACTTTTGAAATACACAGCAAGTGTGTATGGGAACACCGCTATACCGCGGAAGTGGCTGCAAATTTTCATCATAAAGCTCATAAGCGGTTGTCGCATAGTTTCTCCAAAGCTAGAAAGTTGAACCAGAAGCCTGACTTGTTGCTTCAGAATTTATGAGAGGATTTGCAAAGGAAATGGCTTACCGCAAAGTTCTTAGAGAAGAGCGAAAAAGGAAAGAAAGCTCGCGCATATGAGAAGGGAGGCTCCTTGCACACTGGAGGTGCAATCAGCCTAGGGACAATAAAAATAAGATTGGTACGTAATTGCTTAATTTATTTTAATTTCAAAGAATATCTATTATGTTTATTAACTAAAATTTATGAGTTTTCAGGAAAAGAAGTTGGGGCGTCCAATGAACCAAGATGAGCTATTCAAGGAGACTCATATTGTAAAGAAGAAGAAAGAGACGGATCAAGAAAGGTGGGTCGAGGGCCGAGTCTCGATTATACTTGTAAGTTTTCACTTTTCATTAAGTATTTTGATTTACTTTTATATAAATTTTGAAATACTAATTCAATGTAATTTTTCTTATAGGGTCGCTTCATAGCTAACGTGGAGGAATTCATACGCAGTCAGCCACCTAATGAGTCGGGCGAGCCAATCCAACCTTCGGACGAGGATGCTGAAAGAATGTGGATGGAGGCTGCTGGCGGTCCAAAATGGGAGAAGGTATACGGGCTTCCTACTAAGAAATTCCATCGCTATAAGTGTGGAATGCAAGGAATAGGGGCTTCCTTGCAAGGCGAACAACTTGATGGGGAGAGCTTCTCCGCTATGCGGTAGACTGTGACAAAGATCACATCCAAGCTAGAAGCGGCCAAGGAAAGAGAAAAGCTTTGAGATGCTCAGTACATTGGCATACAAGCTCAGTACCAGGGCATGCAAGAGCAGCTCAAATCTCTCCTAGCTTCTAGAGGTTTTCCGATTCTCCGGTCTCGTGAGTCATTGTCAGAGGCTCGACTTGAACGTGAGCGTTCCTTCCGTCCTCTCCATGGTTGTTCCTCCCGTCCCCCCTAAGCGTTCTTCTCGTCCTTGACAAGTAGACCCTTCTGTATACCGTCTTGTTGATGAAAGTTCATCAGACGGTGATGATAATGATGTTGTACAAAACACTCCTTGACTTTTATATACTTTGAACAAGACAAATAGAACCGATTTTGAAATAGGTGTAATAAGCGTTAACTTAGTTTTGTTAGTTCTATTGAACTTTAATTTGTTGGTTTAAATGTGTTTTTTGAATTTTGTTGTTGTTGTTGTTGGGTTGTTGTGGAGATTTTGGTATTGAAATTGTAGTTTATAAATTGAATTATATTATTATTTAGGGATTTTGGTATGCTGGCAGGTGGTGTAGCTGCCAAAACAGGCGTTTTATGCCAAAATTATTACCCAGAAAAACGACCAAAGTTGGTCGCTTACCTATTAAAAAAAAAATTCTGACAATTATAGACCAAGGTTGGTCGCTCATATATTAAAAAAATTAAAAAATTAAAAATTGGCGACCAAGGTTGGTCGCTTATGTATAAAAAAAATTATAAAATAAAAAAACGACCAAAGTCGGTCGCTAATTTTTTATATATAATAATTTAAAAAATATTGTAATTTAAATGTAGAGACCAATGTTGGTCGCTAAATTTATATTATTAAAATATTATACCGACCAAAGTTGGTCAGTATTTTGTTTACAGTGAACATTTGCTCATTTTAGCTAAGCGACCAAAGTTGGTCGCTAATTAGCGACCAACTTTGGTCGCTAAGGTAAAGGGATCACCAATACAAAGCCTGTTTGGACGTGTTTTGGTCGCTATATTGAGATAAGCGGCCAACGTTGTTCACTTTTTGTGGCCGCTAAAACCCGAATTTCTGGTAGTGTTAAACTTCAACTTTTCCAACTTTCACCGAAATGCCTCAAATTACCCTACGGGCCTCCAAATCCAAATCCAAATCCGAACATACGCCCAAGTCCAAAATCACCATACGAAGCTACTGACATCATCCAAAACTCATCCCGGAGCCATTTACTCAAAAGTCAAATTCCGGTCAAATTCTCTCCGCTGAAGCTTCCAAAACTATATTCCTTCTTCCAATTCGACCCCGATTCATCCGGAAACTGAATTCAACCATGCACACAAGTCGATGTACATAATGTGAAGCTGCTCGTGACCTCAAACTGCCGAACCGGACGCAATTGTTCAAAACAACCAGACGGGTCGTTATACAAATTCACGTGCCTGTCTTTCTTTTCTATCCACTCAAATCCATCGTTGCTGATCCATCTGAAATTTCCATTATAGATGAACGATTAGAGCAATCATTATGCAAGCTTTTAACCCACATTTATCCAGCAGCAGGTAGATTTGCAGCTAATGATAATAGTCACTCAGTTGATTGCCTTGATCAAGGTGTTACATATATAAAGGCAAAAATTAACTGTCAATTCGATGATTTTATCAAAGCTGCACTAAAGGATATTGATCTTGCACTGAAATTTTGCCCCGACATGGTTCGTGATGCTTCTAATTCACCATTAGTGGTAGTGCAAGTGACCAAGTTTAATTGTGGTGGGCTAGCTTTAACCATCAGCACTTCACACTCTGCTATGGATGGATTCACAGAATCGAAATTCCTTTACGAGTGGGCTAAAGTGAGTAAAATGGGAACTTCTGAAAAGGATATCAACTGCTTCACCTTTGATTTAGGAACCATCTTCCCAGCAAGTGATCATTCGTCGAAAATTCTCAAGTCCTCCTCGAGTTCTATAAGAAAACCTAGAGAGATTGCAATGGTGGCAAAGAGGTTTGTCATTAATGAATCAGCAATATCAAGTCTTAGGGACAAACTAGGTTTCAAACCCACAAGGGTTGAGATGGTAATTTCTCTTTTGTGGAGGGCTCTAATCAATGCTTCTCAACAAAGAAATGGGCGTTTAAGACCTTGCTTATTGATTATTTCTATGAATTTACGTGGTAAGATTGACTTTCCAAGATATAAAAGCTCCTTTGGAAATTTTGCTATTGATGTTCCAGTCAAATTCATACCAGGAGGAGCAGAAACAAAAATGGAGTTGCAAGATTTTATAATATTGCTTAAGGATACAATACAAAAAAAAAGCTTATTATTTGCTAAAGCTTCTACATGTGACTTATTTTCCATGGTAGGCAAGTTTCATGACGAAATACAACAATGGGAAGACAATGATGAAGTGGATGTATTCATGGTCTCAAGCTTGTGCAGCTTTCCTGTTTATGAAATCGATTTTGGTTGGGGAAAACTGTTCTTGACAAGTTTTGGATTAAGACGTAGCGATATGTTTTGGTTGCATAAAACAGAATGTGGCACTGGAATTGTTGTGCAGGCGGATTTGAAGCAAAGCGACATGGAAATGTTTGAATGTGACCAAGATGTATTGGCTTTCACTTGCAAGTACGGTGTTCCCCTTAAGAGTTTTCTTTAAATTCTCTCTTGTAACAACCAATATTGTGATGACCCAAAAGGTCATCTCTTATTTTAGAAGTCAAATCTTTATTTTGAGGCATTAATAACCTCCTTTTTATCTCACCTCAATTTGCGTGCACAGTCCGGATGTGTATCCGGAAAGCTTTTATGTGGAAATATATGAATTAATAATTTTTGAGAGTTAATATTAGATTTTTAGTTGACTTTGGTCAACATTTCGAGTGAACGGACCCAGACCAGCGTTTTGACGGTCCCGGGAGGTCCGCAGTAAAATATGGGACTTGGGCATATGCCCAAAATTGAACTCCGAGGTCCCTAGCTTTAGAAATAAATTTTTGAAAAAGATTGTTATGCTGGATTTTCAAGGAAATAAAGAAATGAATTTATGTTTGAACTCGTTGGTATCGGGCCCGTATTTTGGTTCCGGGGCCCGGTACGGGTTTGTTATAATATTTAAGTCATGTATGCAAAATTGGGCGGAAATCGGAGTTCATTTGACGTGATTCGGACCTCTGTTTGAGAAAGTAGTGAATTTGAAGTGTTCTTGAGAAAAGTCATGAATTTTGATGTTAAATTCGTAGCTTCCGCATCCTTGATGCACTTCACTTGGTCCAGAGCACGAGTTTTCCTCTCACGCACCTTGGCTAGCCTGTACAGCTTCTTATCCCCTCCCTTGCCTCCAAGTTCTTTATACAGGCGTTCAAACGCGGCAGTCTTAGCCGTAGTTACTGCTAACTTCGCTTCCTTCTTAACCACCTTATACCTCTCTATGTTCGTCCACTTCTCCTCCTTGTCCCCGCTCTCCAAAAGCTTCACATATGTTGCTTTCTTGGCTTTCACTTTATATTGGACCTCAATGCTCCATCATTAATCCCCTTTGTGGCCACCAGGGGGCCCTTCGAGACCCCCAATACTTCCCTAGCAGCATCTTTAATGTAATTCGCCATCACGGTCCACATACCACTCGCTTGCCAACAGCTTCTCCAAGCCCCCAAAGCCAACAACTTCTCCCCCAACTACAGGGCTCTGTCTTTAGTCAAAACTCCCACTTGATCCTAGGTAGACCCTATGCATCCCTCTTACTTCTCTTCCTCATAATCTTCAAATCCATGACCAGGAGCTTATGCTGGGTTGTGAGATTTGCACTCGGAATGACCTTGCAGCCTGTGCATAGACCTAGATCAAAACCTTCCAAAGAGTAGAAAGTTAATCTGGGTCTTAGCTTCCGAACTCTGAAAAGTAACCAAGTGCTACTCCTTCTTCGGAAAACTAGAGTTAGTTATCGCCAAATCAAATGCCTTTTCGAAATCCAGCAGCGAAATCCCTTCTCCGCTCCTAACTCCAAAACTAAAGCCTCCATGCACGTCATCATAAACCCAGATGCGTCCCCAATGTGGCTATTGAAATTCCCTCCTATGAAATGCTTCTTAGTGTGTGGCACGCCACGCACAACCTCATCCAAGTCCTCCCAGAAGAGCCTTTTAACTTCCTCGGTGAAGCCCATTTAGGGCGCATACGCACCAATCACGTTTAAAGTAAAGGCCCTAACAACTAGCTTAATGCCCATGAGCCTGTCGCTCACCCACCTAACCCCCACCACCAGCTACTGGAGGTCCCTCTTAACCAAAATGCCTACCTCGTTCTTTTCCTCCACGCATGCAGAGTACAATAGTTTAAACCCATCTACGTCTTGCGCCTTATCTCCCTTCCATCCTGTCTCCTGGAGACAAGCTATATTGATCTTTCTATTATGGAGAATCTTCTCTAACTCTATAGACTTTTCCGTCAAGGTCCCTATGTTCTGGGAACCAACTTGCAGCCTAGAAGCACCCTTACCACCCTTACCCCCTTGCCCTACCTCCCGAGGACCCCTCCGAGGACATGACATTATCCTACCATCGTTCAATATAGCTACTATAATCAAGACACACTAAGACCTCAAGAGTACAGTCTAAAACTAAAAGGCACAAAAGTATGGGAAAGCACAGGTACGAAGAAAGATATTAGCAGCAAAATAAGTAACCCAGAACCCTAAACGATGCTAATAGGACCAAAAGCAAGTACAAGAGGACTAAGCAATACGAATGAATGAATGAACAATCAAATGAGCTAAACAAACACCGAAGTAAACAAATAAATCACGGATGAAGCACAAAAATAATAGAGAATACACAAAGAGCAAAGAACAAATTTAAACAAAATCTAATGAAACAAAGTTTAACCAAACAATAACGTAGAACCTGGTACCGTCGTCGAAGAGCAAAGAACATATTTAAACAAATTATTTTATTAATAATTTAAAACATTTAATAAATATTTACAAAAAAAAAGATATGGTCAAAGAAAATATTATTTGACTGCTAAAAAAGTAGTAGCTTCATGTAAATTGATAGGGAAGGAATATATGTTAATACTTCTTATATTACGTTTTGAAACATAGATATGGAATTTTGAAATGTTATTTTGTGTTACATTTAAATTGCATAGCATATATATTAAGAATATATGAGGGTTAGAAAGACAAAAAGGTTCATTTGATCAATTCACAGCACCGTGTACCGGTCACGACATAAATTGAGTCGTGGTATTATCGTTAGCATTCTTATGCAATTAGGATTTAGGATTTTTCACTCCTTATTACGTTAAATAAAACAATAAATATTTTCAAATCTTACTTTTAATTTTTGAATAGTGTAGATGTCAAGAAGAATGGATTTAACCAAGTCATTGATTAAATTTTTTTTTGCTAAGACGTCAAAGCTAATAAAAAATTATGCACACCACAACTGTGTGTGCTTAATTACTGTCAAATTCAAAATCATTGTCCAGATAATAATCACTAATGTAGACAAATTTATATTCCTGACTGTGAAATTACAAACTCCAAATGAGGAATAATACTACTTCCTCCGTTTTAATATGTGTTATTTTTCACTTATCGAAATTCAAATTATATGAACTTCGAGTAATATTTTAAAATGATATATTAACATGAAAAATAATTCTAATTTATAATAATTTTCATATATTTTTTGAATATATAGATTTTCATTTTAAAATATTGAGTTTATCTAATCCAACAACTTCTAAATTTAGTTAAATTGACTCTCGAAAAACAAAAAGTATCATATAAATTGGGACGGAGGGAGTGTATTGTGACGATCCGGCCAGTCGTCTCATGAGTTACCGCTCTGTTTTTCCCCATTTCTGCTTCTTTATGCTTTGTTTATCCGTGTTATGTGGTATCGAGTTGGTCGGATCGAATCCTGAAATGGTTTTGGTAAGGTTTCAGACACTTAGTCTCTAAAAGTAGCTTTAGAGTTAGAAAAGTCAACCGAGATTTGACTTATTAGTAAATGACCTCGGAATGCGAATATTATGGCTAAGATAGCTTCGTTATGGGACTTAAGAATGTGTCCGAAATATTTTTGTGATGTCCTGTGTAGAATTAGGCTTGAATTAGCAAAAGTAAGTTTTTTGCGATTTCCGGTAGCTACTGGAAAATAGGCTATCAGGGTTGGAAGTGAATTCCGACAGTTGGAACAGGTTTGTAATGGCATTTTGGATATGTCTGCAAAATTTAAGTTCAATCGGAGTTGTTTTAGATAGTTTCAGCGTCGTTGGTGGAATTTAGGAATTTGTTCATGGGCTTGAATTTAATTGATTTTGGTGTTTTGATGTTGTTTTTGGTGTTTCGAAGGCTCGACTAAGTTCGAATGATGTTATGTGACGTGTTGATATATTTGTTGAGATTTCCAAGGGCCTCGGGTGGATCTCGAAAGGTTAACGGATCAATTTAGACTAGAAGAAATGTTGCTGCATTTTTCACAGCAACATGAATAGTAACTCGGGTGAACAGTAACTCGGTTGAACAGTAAAACACGTGAGTAGTATTTAAATAAACCCTCCACGACCATTAAACCCTTTTTACACCATTTTTGAATGGGAAAAGAGCTTTGAGGCGATTTTGATGAGAAAAAATCATTGTTCTTCATTGAGATTTGGAGAACTCGGAAGTGAGTTCGAGAGGCAAGCGTATTGCAGAGTAGAAAGGATCCACATACCACTCGCTTCCCAACATCTCCTCCATGCCCCCAAAGCCAGCAACTTCTACTCCAACTACAGGGCTCTGTCTTTAGTCAAAACTCCCCACTTGATCCTAGGTAGACCCTGTATAGCCCTATTACTTCTCTTCCTCATAATCTTCAAATTCATGACCAGGAGCTTATGCTGGGTTGTGAGGTTTGCACTCGGAATGACCTTGCATCCTGTGCATAGACCTAGATAAAACCTTCCAAAGAGTAGAAAGTCAATCTGGGTCTTAGCTTCCGAACTCTGAAAAGCAACCAAGTGCTCCTCCTTCTTCGGAAAACTAGAGTTAGCTATCACCAAATCAAATGCCTTTTCGAAATCCAGCAGCGAAATCCTCTTCCGCTCCTAACTCCAAAACCAAAGGCTGCAGACACATCATCATAAACCCAGATGCCGCCCCAATGTGGCTATTGAAATCCCCTCCTATGAAATGCTTCTCAATATGTGGTATGCCAAGCACAACCTCATCCAAATCCTCCCAGAAGCGCCTTTTAACCTCCTCGGTGAAGCCCATTTGGGGCGCGTACGCACTAATCACATTTAAAGTAAAGCCCCCAACAACTATCTTAATGCTCATGAGCATGTTGCTCACCCTCCTAACCCCCACCACCAGCTACCAGAGGTCCCTGTGAACTAAAATGCTTACCCAGTTCTTGCCCCCCACGCATCCAGAGTATAATAGTTTAAACCCGTCTACATCTCGCTCCTTATCTCCCTTCCATCCAGTCTCCTGGAGAGAAGCTATATTGATCTTTATCTTATGGAGAATCTTCTCTAACTCTATAGACTTTCCCGTCAAGGTCCCTATGTTCCGGGACCCAACTTGCAGCATGGAAGCACCCTTACCACCCTTACCCCTTGCCCTACCCACCTGAGGACCCCTCCGAGGACATGACATTATCCTAC